GGGGACCGGTCTAGCAGTCTGGAGGAAGACCAAGATCAAGTGAGTAATACAGCTTTATTTGAACCACTGGCTTTTATATGTGAGTCACGGTCTCAGAAGAAGGATGTAGTTGAAGGTTACATTCACATTAGTCTCCAATGTTTGGTTTATTTAAATGCAGAACACATTTTCTGGGAAGTATAAACAAAGTTTATGCTTCCCAGATTAAAGAAGAACTCCAGGAAATGTAAAATTCAAATGTAAAATTCAGCGCTCACCTTTCTCCCCTTGCTATCCCCATGTCTAATGTAGCTGAATTAGATGTGATGACATCAGCGGTCCTTAGGCCTCAGGAGCCCGGTGGAGAAGAGGCTGCGGAGAGTGGTCAAGCAGCCAGGGAGGGGGGAAGTTTGTAATTAGCAAACCCTGTGGATCCTTAAGATTCACCATAAATCTGAACCTTATCTATAATCCCTAACTGTAAAGCAGCCCATTAGGTTTAAAGCCCATTTCTGTGCAAATCTTTTTATATGCTAAACCTCCCCCCACCCCTCTTGAAAGAAATGTGAAAAGTTTGTTCACTCTACAAAATCACCTTGTGTATGTCCAGCTTGTGAGATGTCCATGCTTGATTCAACCTGTTGGCATCTACCCTACATCAGGTGATCATTTCTGGTTGGACTTACCCTTCGATTGCATTGACTTACAATTTATGAGTACTGGTCCTTTAATCTAAATAGCACTTAAAGCTCAAAAGGGTTTCTGACCATTGTAATCTCTATTGTGGGGTTGAACCTGGGGACACTGATTATATGGGATCACAGACACAATACAAATGACCTCTCACTGATCTCACGGACTGAGGTCACCAAGCCGTTTACCCGCTGCCCAAGCCAAATCCCATCTAGTATTAGCTCCAGTGACACTATTTTTCCTGGGAAACAAAAGGACTACTATAGGACCTTTAAGGGAACCAGTTACAAGAGGCTATGCAAGAATTCAAACATTAGGTCTTAATTAATTATACTTTTCCAATTTTTCCTATAAATTAGTCCAATTTACCCCTTTGGTTAACTTTTTTAACGCCCGACAAAACGGAAAGGTGTGAACGGGGCCTAAGTAATCAGTAGCAGATCCTTTAAGTCCTCTAAGTTAGGAGGTGGGCCTCCTTCGCTCCCCACGTGCATCAATGAGCCTTGGCCACCCATGACCCTGTCGCTGGTTCACCGGTTTTCCTTCCGTGGACCACTTTTGGTAGGTCCTGACCACTGCAGACTGAGAACATCCCACAAGTTGCTATGTCGTATAGCCATCAAAATTTGGCCCTTGTCAAAGTCACTCAGATCCTTATGCCTGCCCATTTTTTGTGCTCCCAACACATCAACTTCAGGGACAAAATATTAACTTGCTGACTAATATATCTCACCCAATTCCAGGTACCATTGTAAAGAGATAATCAATTTTATTCACTTCACCTCTCAGTGAAGGCTAAAACCTTCCTTGTCTAGACATCTAAAAGTCCTGAGGCTGCTGCTGTTGTGTGCTGCCATCTTGGATGTGATGTCAGCAGCCCCAGACTGGCAAAATCATACTGGCCTATTCACCACTGGCAAATCTATGAATAATCCACTCTGTAAAATGAATCACACAACGAATCAAATTCACTCATTACTATTCATCACCTATCTTGCTTTATTATAGTGGACCCAACATCACATATACTTTTCATGTTAAATGCAAACATGCTAAGTAGTGTGTAAGTGTTACACACACAGATATGTATTACCTCTCACTGAGATCACAGTACTCCCCCTGACAATAACTACATCTGCTTTCCTCTTCAGAAGAACGAGGCAATCTTTGTTCAGGCATCACCCAGGGTGACCATCTGATTCCTAGACTGACATGGCAGCTCAAAGATGAGTAAATCCTGGTGGCTGTGCAGTTGTTGGTGTTCACAAATGTCTGACACAGATCACTTCATACTGCATCCTCTTATGTTGTGACTTGCAACACAGTTACAATGTTGCAGTCTGATCACTGGGGAAAAGGGACTGAGAAAATACTTTCTACTCCCTGCAGCAGATTATGACATCATCTCAGCCTAGGCACAATCCCTCGACTGAACAACTTTTTAATGATAAAAGGTGCATCTTTTTAAAGAAATATTCCTGTTGCTGTATACTGTGACATGTCAGGAATGTACTCAGGCACGCTTGTAAAGCAAATACTGGCTTTAGTAGTAACTATTGTACCTAATGTCAGATGTTCACTGCTAGTTATCACTTGGCAGGTCTCTGTGCAATCCACTTCTAGTTATTAACAGTTGTCAACAAAACGTCTATATTGTAAAGCACTGTACCAACTGTTTTCACAATATGAATCCTGTATGAAAATAATAATGATAATAATAATGATGATGATGATAATGTCTGCTAACACCCATCATTCTGCAAACAACTCCCCAACATCACCAAGCAATGTTTGACCATTTCCAACCGAGTATGACATAATTCAAGAGTCTGTGCAAATATGAAGCAACAAAGCAGGTAGTAGATACTGTGTGCAACATTGATTGTTCTGCTACTGTGCTTTGCGAAATTAGTTAGAAAACCAAAAATACACTTTACAAAAGTCTTCATTGGGACACACAAAATAGAACCACAAATAAAATAAGCTCCAAGACACCAGTAACACAGCTTGGTGTAACTGTCCAGGCTAAATCCTCATTATGCTTAGTAGCGTTTTTGCAAAAATGACTAAAGAAGCCAAGCTGCAATCCCAGAGGCTGGTAGAGATGTATGCATGGAAGCATGTGAACTCCCAGACTGCAGGAGCTGACGGAGCAAATAGCAGACAAGCCAGGCCTACAGATACAGATTCTTCCGCCTATGCTATGCTCATTGTCACTGGCTGCTGCCATAGAATAATGTCATGGACATTCTGTCACACTACAGGAAGTGGCGGATAATCCCATCCCCTGCCAGCCGGCTGCTATATGCAACAGCATTTTAAAACACACAAGTGTCAGGGACAGAAATATGGAGAGAGAGAGAGAGAGAGAGAGAGAGAGAGAGAGAGAGAGGAGAAGAGAGAGAGAGAGAGAGAGAGGGGAAGAGAGAGAGAGAGAGAGAGTAGAAGAGAGAGAGAGAGAGAGAGTAGAAGAGAGAGAGAGAGAGAGACTGTAGATGATAGATAGATAGATAGATAGATAGATAGATAGATAGATAGATAGATAGATAGATAGATAGATAGATAGATAGATGTGAAATATCTATAATCTATCTATCTATCTATGTATGTATGTATTTGAAAATATACAGATTATAGTTCCGCCAAGTAATTTTAATGTATTCAAAATTATTTTTAACAACTATTAAAACAAAAACATATCCACGAGGTCATGTCATTGTCACTTATTTTAAAAAGGAAAACTTGCAAAGCAAAATATATGACCAGATATGATCAACATTCCAACACCAGAAGATATAAAATACAAATATCATAAAGTGGAAGCAAAACGAGACAAAATGTTGCCTGCGGCATGCACTGATAGCACATAACACATTTCACTATTGATAGTTGATGGATTTGTCCCCTTTACGGGACAGCTGGCGATAATGGGTGTTAATACATATGTATGCAGGAGAGTGGGAGGGAGGGGTCTGTTATTGTTGCTGGTTCTGGCTCATCGATTGTCTAATACAGGGCAGAGTCCGGCTACCAAAGCACAACAATGGGGAGTGATGTCAGACAAGCACTTCATACACCTGCAGAGTGACAAGACCTAGGCACTCCTTTTGTGACAAGCGCATGTTCTGTTCATGGCCCACATCTGCACTCCCCTGGTTTCCACAACATATCTGTGCACCTAATTGGACTACACTTTCTGAACAACTAGAAGTCTTGGCATGGTGGCATGCTGGGACTTTTAGTTCCTTGGCAATTGGAGAAATGCTTTTCTTCTAAGTCTGAAACCAGAACAACACAGGATAAGGCAGCAACAAAAAGCACAGATGCTATAACTTATCAAGCAGGAGGTCAAGTTTCAAAAGGACCACTATAAGGGTCCAGGAAGACAAGAAGGCCACTACAAGGGTCTGGGAAGAAAAAAAGGACCACAAAAAGAATCGAGAAAAAAATCACTGGTCCCCTGCACACTGGTCCTCTCCCCTAAAGGCAGGGAGCCTACTTCTAGGAAGACCACTATAAGAGGAAGAGATTTGGATTAGGCCTCTAAACTTTGGTGCATTAACTGTTTGGAACCCAGGTTGTATTCAGTTGAAAGGTCATGTTGGAGTTCAGGGTCTGTACACAAGAAGCGGTGGCAGAAGTAACCTGAAGGGGTCTGCTCAGGTCATCTAAAATGTTTTGTGCCTTGCATGCTCTTGTAGAGGTCCAAGAATCACCCTGTATCTATTGGGGCCTAACTCTAAGAAAAACACCTTTGGCAAGGATCTCAACCCTGGTGAAAGTGGTATAGGGACTCTGCAGGAGTTTACATCCAGGAAGAGATGGCCCAGGTCTTCTACAAAGTTGTGTCCACTTTAGTCATTTGCAAAGGATACTGTACAAGTGTCAGTCACTACAGGGGAGGTGGCAGTGGTCCTCTACAAAAATCTGCCCTTAGGAGAAGATGTTAGATAAGATCTAGGGGAGTTTGCCTCCCAAAAGCTGATTTTAGTGGCCCTCTAGAGAAGCCCAAGGTGGAAGTAGTAGTTTTCTTTTAAAGGGTTCTGCCCCCCAGGTGGAGGTAATACTGCTCCTCTACAGAGTTCTGCCCCAGGTGTAGGTAGCAATTGGGTTCTGCCCCCAGGTGGATGTAGCAGTGGTCCTTTACATGAGTCTGCCCCCAGGTGGAGGTAGAAGTGGTCCTCTACAGGGCTCTGTCTCCTGGGGGAAATGCTGTTCCCTGCATCCATGGCAAATATTCTAGGAATTTCTCCATCACCCACTGCTGCCCATTCCTTCTACCAAGCTGAGAGACCCCATCAACACCTCCCCCAGCCCCTGTCACTGACCTCCTTGAGTTGTTCCAGCTCCTGTTTCAGAGTGTCATACTCTGCCTCCAGTTCATCATACTGCTGCTTCAAGGAGAGCTTCTCTTCCAGCACCACCAACCCATATTCTGCAGCCTGGATCTTCTCCTGGGTGGTCTCACTCAGCTCCTTGGTCAGCCTCTCAATCTCAGCCTTGTAATCCTCTACAGTCTGCGGTATCTCCTCAGCAGCCATAGTCCCTTGTGCTGGGAGTGAGACTGGAGGGACAGATGGGTGGGGAGGGGAGACACAGAGGAAGGGGGATGAGCAGGGATGAGGTGGGAGGCTGCTGGATGGGTACCAGCAGAGGATCACACACAGCTATGCAGCATCATGGCATGCAGAAGCAGCAGCCTGCTCTCCCCATCTCCTGGGTCCCCTCCACCTGTCCCGGGTACCCCCTCCTTCCGCGGCTGGACCGCTCTCCGCTATTCTGCTTATTCATAGAGCGGAGACTAAGGAGGAGGGAGCGCCATCCCTACACGGCAGCGTCACTGCAGTGTGAACTTTCCACCCGCTCCCCCCCGCCCCCCGCCACAGCCTGCGAAGTGATGCAGTCTGCCAGCAGCGGGCACCTACTACACTGGCCCGGGCAGGGCACATGTCAGGATATGGGGGTTGGGGGTACTGAATCTGGATTCAGGAGATAGGCAAGGAGGAAGTTACAGATCTGGATGACGGGTGAGGTTGTCTGTAATGATGCCGACAATAATAAAAATCATAACATTGGAATAACATGTTTGGGGTTTGTTTGTTTTTTATAGATCAAGTGGATCAACCTTAATTCATCCTAATGTCTCTGTCCATTTATCTGAATCTGCCCATTTATTATTCTCCTGTCTGTTTGTCCATCCTTCTGACAGTCTATTATCTCTCTCTATCATCTATCTGTCTTTCATCTATCCATCCTTCTATCTATTCATCTTTCTATAATCTATCTTTTCTATCTTTCTATCATCGATCCATCTATCTATCTATCTATCTATCTATCTATCTATCTATCTATCTATCTATTACCTATCATCTATCTTTCTTTCATCTATCCATCTTTCTGTTTATCTATCCATCTTTCTGTTTATCTATTCATCTTTCCATTATCTGTCTGTCTGTCTGTGCATCTATCTACCTATCTATCTTTTCTATCCATCCATCTTTCTATCATCAATCCATCTATGTATCTATCATCTATTTATCTATCTATCATCGATCCATCTTTCTATCTATTCATCTTTCTATTATCTATCTATCTATCTATCTATCTATCTATCTATCTATCTATCTATCTATCTATCTATCTATCTATCGGTCCAGCCTATTTCTATCAGCTCTCCATCTATCCATCTTTATATATCTAGCTATCTATCCTTTTTATTATCCATCCGACTTACATATATGCCTCTTTATTTATTCATCTTTTCATCTCCTTTCTTTCTTTATTTCTTTCTTTACTTCCTTCCTTCCTACATACAAGTTTTCCTCCATTTTGCAGTAAACTGAGGAAGTGCCGGACCCCATGGGGGAAAAAATGAAACCCCATATCAGTCTGTGGAGAATCTGATGTAAACGGAAATGTGTCTGTTTACATCAGATTATCCCCGATCCGGCGCGATCCGGTCCGTCAAAACACAGTTCCCTCTGTTTTTTCAGACGCAGCCGAAGCTGGGGGTAACCGGGTCTAAATGGACGGCTGCCCATAGACCTGCATTGGGCATCCGATCAGGTACTGAAAAACTGACAGGCGGACCCAATCGGAGCAGCCATCTGAAAGGGGCCTAAATGCTATTGTAAGGTCAGGCTATAAAGATAGATCAGAGTTTAGAAATGTTATTCAGGTAAGTACAGGCCATTTTTGAGGCATTGTGAAAAGGGATCTAAAGCTGGGTATAGACTGTCAGAATAGATTTTCATTCACAAAAATCAGACAGATTACTGCATCCACGCTGTTTGCCTGCTGCGGCTATTGTATTGTGCCAGTTGGCCCCAATCAGCTATCAAAATACCTGAACAGTGCTTGCATCTAGTTGCATGCAGGCGCTGTTCGTCCATCAATTTTCCACCCAGATCCTTCAATTTTTCAATTGAAGGGTGTCAACCGAAATCTGCTCTGCGTATACCCAGCTTATAACATCCCAAAAGCTTCCATCTTTATTAACTTGTTAGGCAATAATGAGCATCACTTAAACCTCAAATGTTTTGCATTCTGACTAACACAGTACAATACAATACTACTGGCATCCTGGCAGAAAGCTGCATAGAGGCATTTGAAGAGTAAGTGCCCCCTTTGTGTGACCGCTGCAGGCATAGATATTCCACATGACC